TTTGGTTCACAAATTTTCTGTAAGTATTTCTGCATGAAATCATTATTATAGTTGGAAACTTTCCTAAAATTCAGTAGTGCTTTCCTATGGGAAAGTATTTTAAGCAAAGGAATCTCCCTGTGTTAAGGACCATTTCTGAAACTGGGGCCAGGCTACATTGATCTTCTATCTTATTTGAGGATAAATTAGTCATGTGACCTTCGACCTCCTATCCTAGCTATCGGGGAGGGGATCTTTGTTAATTAGCAATATGAGGTCAACACTATAAAATAAAACACTCTAGCCTTGTAAACAAATTTTCCCAAACTATTTCTGATTGAACAATTGATGACAAAATTCAATTGTTTGTTGCTTTTTATTATCAAAAAAATTAATTCAATTTAAAAACTAATTCATCTAGAAGCTGCAAATTAACACTTCTGTTAATTCCGTGTTTATGGCACTGATGTTATAGTTACTATTTTTAGATACAGTTTGGTTTGGTTTGGTTTAGTATTGTTTAACGTCCCATCAACAGCTATGGTCATTTATTGATACAGAATGCTACCGTGATGTAGGTATGCCGAGAATTCCCATACATATTTTAAGACAGGTCTCGAACTGCTAACGAAATTACCCACGGATACTGTATTGTGTGGGGTGGGACTATAAAACCCCCACCACCAAGTCATGAATAACTTAACAAGGGTACACTTCACACCCAATCCAGCAACATCTATGCTAACTAGGCATTCATGAACTGATAAATGCATATCAGGCCTCCCTGCAAATGAAATACTTGTAATACATAATGTGAAAAGTTGTAAAGCAATAACTGATTCCTTGTAGTGGCCCACTGTACAGGAGATGATCACACATACTGTAAATGAATCAAGTGTCATTAGATTTATCTTATATACATTATGTATGTAATTTTGTTCTTCCAATGACGTATATACTTGCATGAAAACAAACATCTTGCCAAATACAAGTTTACCACAATACATTGCAAGTGAATCCAGAAAAAACAGTGACAAACGAATTAACTCGAGATTATTTGTCCTTTACTGCAAAATCATTCATGAAAAAACCTACAAATTTAATGATAAGAAACTGAAATTAAAAAATATATATATATGGATAAAAAAAGATTAATACCGTAAATTATAAAGAGTTTTGATATAAGTTTAAATCTATATGGTTTAATTAGTTTAGACTGTGAACAGAAATAACTTTTAAACATTTTGTAGAATGTAGAAACCTAATGTTTTCTATTTGTCAGTTTGGGTCAGCCACTGACAGGATACAGTCGACACCTGCACCAAGAAACCATGAACTATCATATACCGCAGAAATTAACACGTCATTCCACAACCTCAGGAGTAACAGAAAAGTTCAGTGTCACACTCGCACATTTCGGAAGGAGAAAAGAATAAAAGAAAAGTCAAGGCCATACACGACAAAACATACCGTCCAGATCGCCATATTGGCTGAACTGGCTGATTTGGCTGCCTCGCCGAATATCATTGCCAGGGGGCATCAGGAAATTACCTGAACGTAAAATGCAAATCAAACATCGATTTAAAAAAAAAATGTTGGGTTGGAAAGGAGAGGATCTTCAATATTGGTTGTCACAGAAAAACCAGAAACGAGGATTTTGTTTTCACATCTGATCTGACCTACCGTCCATTTCACCGTAAATGCCACATTGGCTAACCTGGCTAACCTGGCTTGCTCTGCGGTTATCAAGCGCAAAGGGCATCAAAAAGTCATCTGACGACAAAACACAAAATATTACTACCCTCCATCATTATCTTAACACAATTCTCATAGGATTTTTACCAGCAAATACCTACCTTTCAGTACTAAAATTAGAGTAATTTACTGTATACCAGATAACTTTCCCCCAGTTAAATATGTTCGCCTTTTGGCCGTGAAATCCATGTTTGTCCGTTGCTAATTCACCTTCAATTGTAATTGCTATATCTATTGTATGTTGTGTACCAATATAATATATTCTCTGTAAATAAGATCACTTCCTTACATAGCACAGGGCGAAAAAGGTGAAAGATAAAACGGTGGCAAAAAATTCCCAGTCTACAGTATTTAAAAGTAAGTAATTCTCTGCCTGAAAACTACTGGTAACTAAGATGTTAAATATATTAACACCAGCAAATTTTGTACATACAGTAATGTCCCAATAATTTTTTATTTTATTTTGCTTGAATATAACTCTAGATGGACTTGGCTAGGTAACTACTGGTGATCAATTAGCTTTATTCAGGTTAGAGCACCCATATTGTCATCAGATGTCTAGGGTTTAAATCCCAGTCTGCGGCCTTGTTGTAACTTTTACATAAAAAAATTAGAAGGTATGGGATCCCTTTCAGGAATAGTGTAGTAAAGCTTTTGTCAAGCCCCTAAAAAGTTTCACATTTATTTTTGTTAACTTTCTGTTTTTTTAGTATTCCCTGTACATTTATCTCATCTCTCCAACACAATCGAATGATATGAAAAAAGTGTTCATTATAGCTTTTTTTTGAAAAAATTGGGAGGTTCTGCAATGCAGCCAATTTGGTTGTACACAGATGCTCACTGAGGTTCAATACACTGTTGACTTTTAAAGGGGATTTTTTTTCATTGATCTTTTTTGATACAAATAAATAATTTAGAACATTTTTTCAGCAGGACAGATATCTCAAATTAAAGTTTACAAAAAATAGAAGTAATTCATTCTAAGCTGACTGCCCTGTATACAAAAACTTGAATTTGCTATCTATGATTTGGAAAGGAATAAAAAGTAGTGTAACATTTGACCCTTTGTATCTTGTCTGGAGATAATTCCTAATCTTAACCTTTACACCAGACAGGATATTGTTCTAGTCAGGGAAAACATGTGAAAGAGAAATTGACTGAGCAGGAGTGGCCATCTAGTTGTACTGGAACAGGTGTGTCTCGTGTCACCATGTCAATAGGGCGACAGATAACATTCTCTCCTCGACCTAAATATCTGGGATGGTTTAGTCGTTAAACCAAATATTCAAAATGTGATATTTTGAAAAGTATTTGAAATTTAACAAATATTTCTGTGTTTCCTGTACATGTGTTTAATTTGAATCCTTACACATGTAGCTAGAATTAGTACAGAATTTCGATCTACATGTATTTAGAGATTTACAAGATAAAACTTTTATGCTAATTTCTCACGAAGACGATCATGCTTCCAACAAGTGGACCTTAGCTTACAGTTTATTGTATCAAAGACACTGGTCAAAGTTCTAAATATAAACTGACTCTCACAGCGCTCCCAATAACATTTGAAGTTGAAGGTATTATGTATAAATTATGCTATAAACTTTATAGCATATTTGTCAACAAATCTTTATCACATTAATAAAATTATGTGATGCGATTTCAGTTGTACATTGTAAGGTGGTAAAATTTAACAAACTAACGGCTTCAAATTAAAGACTTGTGATTTTTACATCTAAAGATTTCTAGACTGCAGAAATTATTCCTGATTTCCAAGTTTTTCTAGGTTGTAACATTGTATTTTTTTCATATTAACATTAAGAAAATAAAATCAGATTTCTTAAACTATTAAGCTCTAGCAAGGCTGGGCTAAAATGATTCAAGTGGTCAAAAGTTTTCTTGTGGATAAGTGATTAATTCTTGAATTTAAGAAATCAAAATATTAATCACGATTGAAAGAAGTATATATAGAAGCTGGGTTGATCATCATAGGACATTTCATTAACTCATTCCCCCCTGAAATTTCATAATGAACTATTCCAACCTTTGAATTGGAAGAGTTCAAATGTGTTTTCAGGGATGAATGAGTTAAATCACCATACTGATGATTATTTCACAAAGCATTTAACTGGATTGTTATTAGTTGTGAAAGATATATACATTTTCATGTCTATCATTGTAAGTCAGCAAGCTCTTTGGGTCACGGCTGAGGGCAAAATTTCCCTTTGCAGTTAATATTAACAGCATTCACTCAACACTGATAATGTTTTTGTATTAACAGGTAGAATATCAATTACAGTATTTCTGTACAAATCTTTACAAATTATCCTAATTGGTGTGAAAACAGTTGTGTACAGTGATTGAGATGTAGCATATACATTTTTATCACTCAATTCCCCTAATTACCTACATTACATGAACACATACATGTTAATGGGTACATACACCTACAGCAGAAGGGGGGGGGGGGGGGGGGGCAGCTACATCTAAACACTTAAATTAACAAACAAACCTGTCCAACATATTATACTGTTCATGCCATGAGTGTTTCATATGTGTAACCCTAGAATTGCTACCCTGGATTAAATGTTCCTGGCTCGGCAGGACTGGAAGAAGCAATTGAATTAATGTGACCCTACAAATGGACACTTTTATATTATCATATGATAAATGTACTTTGTGCTTAGAAATTTACATAGCGTAGTCTGTGACCCTTAGTGAAAAGTTCTAACCTAGCACACTTATTGATTGTATAGGTTCAGTCAAAGGTGTGCGTCTTACATTAATTCATCTGTCAAAAGTGCATAACAATTTACACACAGTGCACTGCCTTACAATAATTATTGTGACCCTAATTAAAAAGTTCTTAAACAATATACTTCACAACTTACAGATAGTGCAGCCTTACAATTGTGACCCTAATTAAAAAGTTCCTAAACAGTACTTATCAAATGTGCATCACGATTTACACACAGTGCAGTCATAGCACCGTGATCCCAAGTTTCTCAATAAACAGTAAATACTTATCAAAATGTGCATGACAAATTTAACACACAAACACTGGTGCAGTCTGACCATGGTGACCCTAGTTTAGCAGTTCCTGGTTTCAGTTCAGGGTATAAATGTCTATATATACTAACAAGCAACCCATTGTAAATACGGATTTATGTCACCAAGCCCAATTGACTGTAACCTCGTAAATGTTTGAAAACACAATTTATGTAACACTATCAATAAGCACCAGCTACAGTGCACTACAGGATACCTACCATCAGACGGGGCAGACGTGGTATGGGACCGATCCGAGTTGGAGCCATCACGCTTGTGGTGGCGACGATGTTTGTGTCTGTGACGATTCTGTTTGGGTAGGTGTAGCCCTATATACACCTTGTCTTGTGACCTGTGGTCTATATGGCAACAAAAAACAAAACAATGAATATCATGTCAAGTCAATAATGTCATTCTTTCACCTAGATCATAACTATATAGCTAAGATTTGGATCTCCTTTACTAGTAGGATTACTTTTCCCTTTTTAGAGTTATCTCCCTTTGAAATACCAACATAATTACTTTTCCTTTTTAGAGTTACCTCCCATTGAAATAATAACAGGATTATTTTAGTGTATAGTGAAGAAAACTTATGCCATGTACTGACGTTCACGGTTTATGAAGTGACAGAGAAGTCACCATTATTAGTTAAGTAAGGATTCGTACAAATTATTATACTTTTTTAAAGTCTTAACATTTAGACATCTCGTTATGACATAAAGCTACTTATGAAAACAGATAGAGTTACCTACCTTTGATATCAGCATCACTGGGTATATTGGTGGCCACAAATGACCCCAAATCCTTAATTGGCATTGTGCCATGTTGTGCATCCATGGTGACGGATTAAACACTTTTTGTTTTAAATTTAATTCTCTTTTAGATCTCACAAATATTTCAGAATAATTCCTGGGATGAAGTATGGGTTCTCCTCAACTGAAATATTCTTTGTAGAAAACAGTTTCTGGTTCACTTTCTTCCGATCTGTCTTCAGTACTTGTAACCATGGTAACTGTTAATGTTTCGTCAACCTGCAAGGTAAAACAGAAAGTTAGATATATATTTTTGTGTTATTTGTGATGAGCGAATATGAGATCAAGAATTCAAAGGTCTCATGAAGAACTTTTTGGTCCTTTCATATCTTTCATTCCTCAAAAATATATTGCTCAAAGTAAAATTGAGGAAGCAAGTATTCTTGAATATCATGTGATTTGTGATGTGAAAAATAAAGTCAGCAAAGTTGAATAAGATATTTGATGGAAAACACTTCACCTTAAACCCCAGCATGTACAGATGTCATGTTAGTTTAGCCAGCAGTAACTCTGGGCCATACATACCAATATGTATCGATGTCATGTTGGTTTAGCGAGCACTAACTCTGGGCCACACAGAGTTAGTGCTAGCTAAACCAACATGTCATCTAAGTATGTATATGTTGGTTTAGCTAGCACTACCTCTGGGCCACACAGACCAATACAAATACATACTTAGATGTCATGTCAGTTTAGCCAGCAGTAACTATGGGCCATACATACCAATATGTATCGATGTCATGTTGGTTTAGCTAGGACTAACTCTGGGCCACACAGAGTTAGTGCTAGCTAAACCAACATGACATCTATACATATTGGTCTGTATGGCCCAGCAGTAAAACTCTGGGCCATACAGACCAATACATATACATACTTAGATGTCATGTTGGTTTAGCTAGCACTAACTCTGGGCCACACAGACCAATACATATACATACTTAGATGTCAAGTTAGTTTAGACAGAAGTAAATCTGGGCCATACAGACCAATATGTATAGAAGTCATGTTAGTTTAGCCAGCAGTAAAACTCTGGGCCATACAGAACAATATGTATAGAAGTCATGTTAGTTTAGCCAGCAGTAAAACTCTGGGTCATACAGACCAATACATATACATACTTAGATGTCATGTTAGTTTAGCCAGAAGTAAATCTGGGCCATACAGACCAATATGTATAGATGTCATGTTAGTTTAGCCAGTCCACACATCCATCTGACAAAATGGCTATAATCACATACACGTGTATACTGTTACCCTATCCACACCTCAGGACAATTGATAAGGTGGTTATTATACCATCCCTCCTACACCATCTGACTCACTTCCTTTAGTACCCCCTCCCTCCCCCTCCCCTTACCGGTGTGTCACACACATGGCCTCCCCTCCCCACCCCCACTGTTTTAGTTTATGTAACACACATGGCCCTGAGAGTGTCAGGGCATAACCCTTATCAACTCACTTTTTTCTGATGTATTCTATTTTTTAAAATGATGAACAAGAAATTATTTTTCTTTTACCAAACATCTGGAACAGCAAATTGTATACCCCTTCTCAGCTTAATTAAGTAATTAAAAAAAAAATCAAATTGAATGTCTTGTTTTTTTTATTGCTTACAGTTATGAAATACAATATAAAAGCACTATTTTCCATTGGTTTAAAAACCCTTCTAGAATTGTGAATTATATTTCCATGAGGTATAGACAATAATACAAGTACATAATGTAACAAGTTAAGCTGAGTATGCTTCAGAAAGATCAGTCAGTGGTTCTACATCAACTTCTATATGGCTTCTGTACCAGCATGCACTGCTACAGGGTGTTTCTATGGGGCTTCTGTACGTATATCAGCATGCACTGCTACAGGGTGTTTCTATGGGGCTTCAGCAACACCCTCCTCCTCCTGTATTTTTATACCATATTATTTTCATAAGAAAATGTCTAATGTTATCGGGAACCCCCACTTACCTGTCAATCACAGGAAAACATAGCAAGCTATTTCTGCTATAGGTACAATAGAGTTAACAGCAAGTAAATAATATTACAAATTTTCCAATTTATTTGATTTTTTGAAGACAAATAATAAAATATATTCAAATGAAGATATCCATTTAAACACACAAGGCAATTATATTCTTACATTCCTAACTTTTAGCAAGACCACTCTCTCCTTGATTTCAATCAATGTTTTATGAAGCAAGAACTGAATTGAGCATACATTTCAGTATACTAATTAAATTATATTGGTTATTAATTTGTTGTGCATGAGGTATTTTTTTCTAGCTTTTTTCTAGGTTTAGAGAACAATGGTAGAAGAAACGTTCTTCATTCTTAAGTGTTATAAAGTGTACCGTAAGCTAAGCTACAATGTGTTAGGATTTATAAAGTAAGGCTGTTAGGTAAGCACAGATGTCCAATAATTAATAACATGCTCATGTACTATTACATAACTGTACTTATAGACTGGGTATAAATATCTCAGACATTTTCTCTTCCACTACAATTATATTGTATCTCCCTCTAAGTCTAGTCCCTACCATCCCTTTCTCACCCTTCAAAATCATTCAATCAGCTACATTTCAGCCATCACCTTCTCACCCTTCAAAATCATTCAATCAGCTACATTTCAGCCATCGCCTTCTCACCCTTCAAAATCATTCAGTCAGCTATATTTCAGCCATCTCTTTCTCACCCTTCAAAATCATTCAATCAGCTACATTTCAACCATCGCCTTCTCACCCTTCAAAATCATTCAACCAGCTATATTTCAACCATCGCCTTCTCACCCTTCAAAATCATTCAATCAGCTTCATTTCAACCCTCTCCATTTCACCCTTTTAAAATCTTTATCATGGAAATCAAAGTTTTTAATACATTTTTCATACAAAATGATATAGGAAGTTCAGTTTGTTTGCTTTATCTTTCTAATCCAATTCTCTCAGCCTATAAAAAAAATTAAAATTAAAAACTTTTTTACTGATACAATTTTTATACATAAAAATAATATTACAAATTTACTTTTTTTCCATGTTACACTTTATTTCTGTTTCAAAACTTTAGGTTTTTGGTAAGATTTTATGGTATAAAAGTTATATTATCCTTATATGCAATTTTTTAATGAATATCTTGTTTACATTTTGCCTGACCTTTGCTGAAGATTTCCTGTCCTTCATTTCAACCTAGTATTAATCCTGACATCAATCTCACTAAACAAATACCCATCTACATTGACGATGACATCTTCTGTAAACTTCGACCATGCTCTGATCAACTTAACCTATATCCGTAGGAAAACTGGGATAGGTTTGTCATCATGTGTTGGTCATGGTCATGATCAGTCTGCCTGGACAAAGTAGGACATCCTGGTCAGACTTATACCCCTAAATGATCCCCAGTCAGATTTACTCCCCCCCCCCCCCTATTTTATAAACAGTAACCTGGCATCAGAATCATATGTATTCTGTTAGTAGAATGTTATGATCTTGAGCTTTCACATATAACTGGCAAACTAACAGGTCAGCAAGGGCCCTTACATGTGTCTGACTGTATCTCTGTATCCCCTACAGTCTATATTTAGTAACAGTGACCGTGGCCTTGACCTGATATTTTTTTAACTTCTATTACACATCTACATGTCACAGTGTATCACCATGTCAAATTTCAGAAAGATTCGCCATTCCCGATTCCAAGATAATCTAGAGAAAAGAAAGTGCCGACAGACATTTACCATGATTACTATAGGGCAACTGCATCTCTGATGTATGGCCCCTAACTAGCAGGAATATGATGGTAACACATTCACCGGGACAATAATGTAACACTTTTGAATATGCACAAAAAATATGAATATTGCTAAAGTAAGACTGTTCACAATATCAAGTATAGGGCTAAACCAACTCTATTAAATAACTCTCAAGACGGGGAAAAATATAAAACAAATAAACAGCTAGAACATCTATTGAAGTCATGGATTAGACTTTATCTCAAGCAATGTGGCAGTGTCTATGGAAAAGCACAGCAGGAAAATCCTCCTGATAATCTCATAAACAGACAATGGTTGTTACAGATTAGTAATATAAGCCTGCTGTACTGTTCTTTATGTCTATATAAGAATCCTCCAGGTGAATGTATCATAGCTGAGTGTGCAATGTATATTCCCTGCTCTTCTTAATCACTGTTCTTCCTGGTGTTAATGGAGTCAAACATTTAAATTGCTCCTCATAAACCAAAAATAGCAGTTTTCCACCACATGGAGGCAGAGAAATCCTCATGCTGACCTCATCAACAGGTAATGACTGTTCCAGTCAAATCCCTTCCCAGCTATATATACCAAGCACTGTATGCTATATATAAAGTCTCTGCTTACCTATTAATTGGCCATCTTTGCTAGCATCGGATCAGATTAGTCATTGATTAGTCCAGACTCTGATATAGTCAATAGTTGTACACGCTGCCCTAATCAGCGACCTCTAACTCACGGCTACTTATCACTATAGAACATGTAATCAGTAGAAGGCAGACAGGTGATGTGATCAAAGTCACCTTGCTAGTTTTCCTAAGGTGTCTTGATGCTAATTAAGTCCATGCTGATCAATGAAAATCCTGATGGTTAATAACGTTAACCCATGCTTACATAGTCTGCCAATGTACAGTAATATTAACACACAAGGATGTGGGCAATATTTTAGCTTGAACACATTATATGCATACAAACTTTCTGTGGGCTACAGCTCCAACACATTATATTTATACAAACTTTCTGTGGGCTATAGCTCCAACACATTATATGTATACAAACTTTCTGTGGGCTATAGCTCCAACACATTATATTTATACAAACTTTCTGTGGGCTATAGCTCCAACACATTATATTTATACAAACTTTCTGTGGGCTATAGCACCAACACGTTATATTTGAAATAAACTTTCTGTGGGCTATAGCTCCAACACATTATATTTATACAAACTTTTTGTGGGCTATAGCTCCAACACATTATATGTATACAAACTTTCTGTGGGCTATAGCTCCAAAACATTATATTTATACAAACTTTCTGTGGGCTAGCTATAGCGCCAACACATTATATTTATACAAACTTTCTGTGGGCTATAGTTCCAACACATTATATGTATGCAAACTTTCTGTGGGCTATAGCTCCAACACATTATATGTATACAAACTTTCTGTGGGCTATAGCTCCAACACATTATATTTGAAATAAA